CTTTTTTCTTAAAGCCATTCTCTGAAATCTTCCAGCTTCTTGTCTTATTATTATCAATTATCTTGATGGCCTAAATATTTGTGGTCCTTAAATATCTTTTTATTGCACACCTACAACAGATTTGTACTGGAACCCCATTACTGAGATCTCCTTACTGGGATCTCATGTTCTCTCTTCAGTTCTCTTCTTGTTTTGCTAGAACATTTCCTTAAGCAATTTTTTTCCCCTGAAATGGGTAAAAAGTCAAAAAAAGGTGAGAACGTCTTTAATTTATCCTCATCCCTAAATGTTTTGTCTATAGAATTCTAGGTTCAGAATAATTTTCTCTCAGAACTATAAAGATACTGCTGCTTGAATAATCTAAAAATAGTCATCTAATAATCGATGTTGCCAATAAATGACAAAATTCCATCTACTTTAATCTTCCTATCACTCTACTGCTCTTATAAGGGTAACTGACAATTTTTGTTTGGCTGACTCTTTTTTTCTCTCCACAGTTAACTGAACTTTCATAACTGGCCATATCTGATACTCTCCTCTCTGGGCTCTATAGCACACATTATCCTGGTTTTCTTAAATAATTGGCTATTCTTCTTCATCCTCTCTCAGTTTTTCTTTCTCTATGTGACCTCTAAATGATGGAGTTTATACCCACTTTTCTATTCTGTGTTTTCTCCCTATATGCTCTCATCCATTCTCATTGTTTAAAAACTATATGCTGACAATTCCTAAATTTATATCAGTTGGCTAGACTTTTTTTCTGAGTTTCAGACTCACATCTTTAAATATCTTCTTGACCTCTGTCTTGTCCATCTCCTAGGCATTTCAAAATTAAAATGGCCAAAATGAATCTCTTTCTCTAAATCTGGATCTCCTTCACCCTTTACCACTCAAAAAATGGTCCTATGGTTAACTGTTCCCCTTGACTCTTCATTTTCATTCCCTCCTCCTAACACCTCCCTCCTCATCTAAGCCATCAGTAATTCCTGTTATTTCCACTTTCAAAATATATTTCTAAACTCTTAAAAATGTAAATCAGGTCATGTCAGTTCTCTGTTTAAAATGATTAGATTGCTTTACACTGCATTTAGGATAAATTTAAAACATATACAGCTAGCCCCCCAAACTCATTTCTTGCCTCTCCAAACTAATGTCTTGCCTCTTGCCATTCTGCACTTACTCATTTCCTCACTCCAGTCTCTTTCTCCTAGAATACACAATGCTCTGTTTCAGAGCCTCGGTTCTTGACTTTCTATATGGCGTACTTGCTCCTCAGGTCATTATATGGCTGATCTTTTTTCCACTTGAGACATAAAGAATATCTTTGTCAATATACACACTGCCACCACATCTTTTAATGAGTGACACTATCCTTTTATATTGATGCTAAATGTATTTAACATAATTTAAATACCCATATTAGTGATATTTGAATTATATCCTCGTTTTTAAACATTTAAATAGTTTAAATGTTTAAAATGTTTTTAAACTATTAAAACAATGCATGGAATATTTGTGTATATACAGCGAATATCCAAATCAATATATTTAAATCATGTGTAAAAATAGATTTTAACATCGATCTTTTTCCATTTAAAGAATCTTCAGAACTGTAGAGGAAAAGCAGATCTCTGAGTTTGGGGGCATTGATTTGACAAGGAAAGTGATAAAAGGAGATCTCTTCCTCAGAAGGATTTGGAGAATACAGTTTAGAGGTGAAAAATGTGTGGGGTGAAAAACATAGTCCCATTGTGGAAAGATGTAGAGCAGTTCTGGGACTAAGCAAAGAGCCACTCATTTAAGTGTGGTTTGAGTGGTTTGAGTTTTCTTTGATACTACAATTACAACATCAATTAACTTTTACTATGTATCAATACACTGCACTGGATATAGCTTATCTGGGTAATCCTTCTACTACTCTTACCTAGTTCACTCATGTCGCCAGTTTGACTCATTAGGCAGTTTAACGAGAGCTGGATAGCCTAAGATGGGCTACAACGCATCTGGCAGTCTGTTTGTCTGTACTGTTTGGTCTAGGGGGGCCTCAATTGGAAAAACTCATCTTTACTTCATGTAGCTTGTCATTTTCCAGCAGGTAACAATGGCCTTCCTCATGCAGCAGTCTCAGGTCAGTATTCCAAGGCATGAGGTTGAAAACTGAAAAGCTTCTTGCGGCCAAGGCTTAGAAGTCACATAACATTACTTCTGCTGTATTCTATTGGTCAAAGAAAATCATCAGGCCAACATAGACTCCAGGTGTCGGAGGGGAAAACATTCCACCTCCTAATGGGAGGAGTGACAAAGTCACATTGCAAAAGAGCAAGGGGCACAGGGATGGGAAGACTTGTGGCCATCTCTGCAAACAATCTATTACTGCAGGACTTGCTTAGAAGTGATCACTTTTGTGTTACAAAAGCACATTTATAAGTTGATTATTTGCCATTCAAAACATGTTTCCGATAGAAATAATGGGAAAACTCTAATATACACCTATACAGTACTCTACAGTTTTTAAATTCATTCATAAATATCTCATTTGATAATTCATTGACCAAATTTCTTTTGAGTGCCTATTATGTGTCAAGCACTATGATATGCTCTGGGGATATAAGAGAGACATGGTCCTTGCTCTTAAAGAGCTTATAGTCTATGGAGGGGAAATAAATATTTAATAAGTAATAATAGTAAATCAAGTAATAACAATAACTTGAGATTAATGTTATGACAGGGCAATACAGGGAATAATCATTAGTTGAACTTATACTCCGTGCTAACAGAGTGAGAAGATCTTTATAATAACTCAGGCTAGGCACAATGGCTCACACCTGTAATCCCAGCACTTTGGGACGCTGAGGTGGGAGGATCACTTGAGGTCAGGAGTTCGAGACCAGCCTGGCCAACATAGTGAAACCCCGTCTCTACTAAAAATATAAAAACTAGCTGGGCATGGTGGCAGATGCCTGTAATCCCAGCTACTCAAGAGGCTGAGGCAGGAGAATCGCTTAAACCTGGGAGATGGAGGTTGCAGTGAGCTGAGGCTGTGCCACTGCATGCCAGCCTGGGTGACAGAGTGAGACTCCATCTCAAAAAAAAAAAGACAAAAAAACCTCTGTATCATATTATATAATAACTCTGTCTCTGTCTCTGTCTGGCGAGACAAGCTATTAGTTGTCATTCTCATCTTTAAGTGAGGAAATTAAGGTTCATAAGGTTATCAAAGTAATTTATCCAAGGTTACTCAGGTTCTAAATAACAAAATTTGAAATTAAAAAACAAGACCGGCCGGGCGCAGTGGCTCAAGCCTGTAATCCCAGCACTTTGGGAGGCTGAGACGGGTGGATCACGAGGTCAGGAGATCGAGACCATCCTGGCTAACACAGTGAAACCCCGTCTCTACTAAAAAATACAAAAAAACTAGCTGGGCGAGGTGGCGGGCGCCTGTAGTCCCAGCTACTCGGGAGGCTGAGGCAGGAGAATGGCCTGAACCCGGGAGGCGGAGCTTGCAGTGAGCTGAGATCCGGCCACTGCACTCCAGCAAGGGGGACAGAGTGAGACTCCGTCTCAAAAAAAAAAAAAAAAAAAAAAAAAAAAGACCTATTTTCCAAACTCTGCTTTTTCCAATGTACTCCTCTGCTTCCCTAGACACCAATATGCGAAAACAGAAAAAACACCAATAAATTAAAACCAACCAACCAACCCTTACATGATGGTACATACTTTGTGGAGATTCTTTTGAAGAGACTTCAGTGTTTACAGTTTCAGAGACTGACCATGTAATATATAGCATACCTAGAATATCTAGGAATATCTAGGAATACCTAGAATAATCTAGAATATCACCCATAATGTTGAGGAATTTTGCTTACTTCCTAACTCTTTCTAGACCCAGAATCTAGAGTGTTATCACTTGGGTTCACTGGGTTGAGAAAAAGCCATTTAAAAAATAATATAAGAAAAGGTTCTTTAACATGACAATCTAAAGACAAGAAAAAGAATTTTAGATGAGAATGACTAAAGTGAATTTCCACTATAGAAAGAACTATAGTGTGGTCAGTTTACTAAGTAATGAACTTAATCAGGAATATATACACCTTGCTTGGCCTCAAATTCTTTTTAGAATAAGAAAGAATATAAATTATAAACAAATATGTGAACATGTGTAAGCGTATGCCAACATATATACACACACACACACACACACATATATACACACATACACACCACACAAATTTCAAATAATTATCAATATGGTTTTAGCACTGTTTTATTCCTTCTCACTAGGAAACTGGTAAAACCTTCAGCCTAACATGGCTTAAGCAAAGGTCTATCTGTATTCTTTTTTCTTTCATTATCCTATTACTCCATTTGTGACTTTATCTGGTCTCCATCTCATGCTGGTCTATGTTAGAAAGGCTTACATATCAAACAGCTGAAAGTCTCTCAGTCTGTGATGCTCCAAATTCAGACAGTAGTCTTCAATAAATTTATTTCTATTACTCAAATAGTCTGTTTTCAATTTGTTGCTATACAGATCCATGCAAAGCTAGAACTTCAGTAAGTTGCTGACCTTTAACATTTTCTTTGCAAACTCTTGTTGTAAGTCATCGATAATTGAGAATGGCCTCTGTCTTTCTTCCAGTACTGCTCTCTGCTCCAAATTCTCATTTTTTTTTTAATATGCTGCTCAGCAGTTGTGAGAGAGGTAATATAGACCAGAATTTTCTAATTATATGTTTTGAATGACTTAAAGCTGTGAAGCATGATATTGATCCTTTCAGACCTGGGACACACAAGTTGGGAGCCCCTGGCCTGGTTGCATTCCAGCTGCTAGCAGCATTTACCAGAGCTTCCTGGAAGGTGGCCAAGAGGAACAGCACCTCTACAGGGAGAGTGGATGATGAAAAACATCTAATAATTCCAAAGGCCTCTTATCCAAGCTGAACAGTGGTATGTTCAGCCGCTGGTTCCTGAAGTAGATGTCCAGATAATGGAATACCTACCTCCTTGGCTGTGCGCAGCACATTGCAGCCAACATGGAGGTCCTGGATGGTGCAGCTCTGCTGGCTCTGAAACTCTGATTTCATAGACATCGAATATTTTTTGTGAGCAGCTGAAGTGCCCTTTTTGTGGTATCCAAAGTAGTTCTGGTCTGACTGATCCAACAATGCATGCATGTTTTACAAATTAAAGCTTCACCATTATTTTAAAGTACTTTATAGAAAAAAGTACCGCTATTCATTATTGGCATTTTGGTACTATCTGGATTTTTTTTTTAAGCTGTGTATTCTTACTGAAACTAAAAAAAAAAATTGAAGTGCAATTTAAAATGGCGCCAGAAGTCAGGTGTGGTGGCTCACACTTGTAATCCCAGCACTTTGGGAGGCCAAGGTGGGCAGATCACTTGAGGTAAGGAGTTTGAGACAAGCCTGGCCAACATAGTGAAACCCTGTCTCTACCAAAAAAATACAGAAATTAGCCAGGTGAGGTGGCAGGCCCCTGTAATCCCAACTACTTGGGAGACTGAGGCAGGAGAATTGCTCGAACTTAGGAGGCGGAGGTTGCAGTGAGCCGAGATTGCACCACTTCACTCCAGCCTGGGCGACAGAGTGAGACTCCATCTTAAAAAAAAAAAAAAGAAGAAGAAGAAGACAGTATTACTAGAGAACGTCAGTCATTAAGAGATTACTTGTCCCTGATAAAGGCCTGACCATATGCATTCCTCCTGTTTTGATGGAGAGGGGCAACAAATCAACCTCCAGAAACCAAAGGGAGAAAATTTTCCTCCCTGTGGGTTTTTGGAGTCAGATAGCCTCAGTTCAGATCCTGGTTCTGTCACATAGTAGCTGTGTGATCTAAAAAAAAAAAAACAAAAAAACCAAAAAAAAATTAAATTAAATTAAATTAAAAAAAATAAAATGGCACCAGAACTTAACATTAACATTCCATATTTTTCCTGTAGTTTTTTTCTCTAAATATGACATTCCTCCTCTTTTTCATTCTAGAGAGAAAAAAGTTACCTTTTATTCTCTAATCATATTATCCATTTAATGACATAGAATTATTCAATTATTTAATCTTCACCCAAAGAGCAAAGAGCAGTCCTGAGAATCTTCTCTGTATTTTATTTTTATTTTTTGAGACAAAGTCTTGTTCTGTAGCCCAGGCTGGAGTGTAGTGGCACGAACTCGGCTAACTGCAACCTCTGCTTCCCAGGTTTAAGTGATTTTTGTGCCTTAGCCTCCCAAGTAGCTAGGATTACAGGCGCCTGCCACCAAGCCCGGCTAATTTTTGAGTTTTCATAGAGACTGGGTTTCAGCATGTTGGCCAGGCTGCTCTCAAACTCCTGACCTTAGATGATCCACCAGCCTTGGCCTCCCAAAGTGCTGGGATTATAGGTGTGAGCCATTGCACCCGGCTGAGAATATTCTTTTTAATATTTAGTTAGATTGGTGGGTGTGAAATGCTTAAAATAAATTCCCTGAGACTAAGTTAGGAAACAGAAGTTCTTTATCCTTCCCTTCCCAGTGGTGGCACTGGCAGGAAATTTAATAAACTAGACCAGAGGCAAAGATGTTCAGAAAACCATCAAAAGTCGTTTGATGGAATGTACAACAGGGAATCTTTAATATAGTTGAAAGAGGGAGAAAAAATAGAATTAAACTGAATGCTTTTCTCTTTCACAGCTCTTCTCTACGAGGATTTCAAAGTCAGTAAGTAACCTGATCATCTATACATATATCACTACAGTAAACCAAAATAATATTTATTCTATTTATGAGTTCGGTAAAAGATGGTTTATTTCTTATGAGTTTTTTAATCTTTTCAAATTATAATCACATTACAATCTATGCTTGTTAAAAACCCTGAGACAATATAGGATATTCATTTATGTTTATTCCTGGGCCTATTCACTAAAGGGAATGGCTCTACTGCCTCTATAATCAAAGGGGCGGGCACGATTTGGAGATACAGTTTTGCACATGACAGAAATACAACAACCTCATGGGTGTCACCATTTCTCACCAACACTCTCCTCTGGGGAACATGCAGAACAGACTAAACAGAAAACAAAATAGTAAGGACCTGCTTCCTTCAACTTTCAAAGGAGAATCTAGAGGGGAATTATTGATAAACATGAACAACATAATGCATGTTTTGATTAAACATGCTTGGGAGCCTAATGACTTTTAAAACCACTTAGAAGATTGGTTTATGAACCATTAATTCACAATCCATAATGTGAACTAACTTCATTTTTTAAAAAGCATCTCAGTTATTTGAAATAACTGCTACTGTTCTGATGTAAAAGTTATATAACTCTCAAATATAACTTAAAAATCATACTGTGAACAAACGGAAGGATATTTCATAATTTAAATTCACAACTTGTTTCAGCAAACTTCCTGGTTCATTAACAACAGGGTGTTGGCAACAGGAAAGAATGAAGTCTTTCTCTTCCTCAAGTATTTGGAAACCCATTCATTTTTAAACAACTCGTTCATTAGTAGTCCATCTCATAGATATAATTTGATATCTTTTTCCAGTTAAGCCTGTTTGGTTACCTTTTTACTCAAGTGAAATACCCTATTGTTAGATGTAGTCAGTAACTGGCAACTGCTGACTAACAGTAGCCCCTTTTTCCTCTCTCATGTGGGTGGCCTAGGATTTAGATGGGTACAGACGGGAGCCAATATTGAGTATGGGCAACAGTCCAGTGGATAACTGTTGCCTGGTCTCTTGGCTAAACACGTTGGGCATGACACAGAAATTTTTATGTCTGTTACATATTCACTCAAACTACACTGCTTATTTTCTTGAATGTAGAGGATAGGATAGGACAGGCAAGAAAAAAATAAAAGACCACACATTGATAATCTGTACACTTATTTCATACTTTAACAATTCCTAAACCACTCCTTATTAGATAATGCTCATGGGTAGTTAGCACAGCTTATTGTAAAGTCATCAGGACATTTGCTGCTATTATTCTTATACTTTGGCCCAGGTTCACCTCCTAGGTGGAAATAACTGAAACTTAAAAAACCTTATCTCTAAATATAAACTTTTTATGTTTTATATGGCTCTCAAAGAGTAGAGAGTAGGCGTGGGCCTGTGGCTTAAGACTGTAATCCCACACTTTGGGAGGCCAAGGTGGGAGGATTACCTGAGGTCAGGAGTTCGAGACCAGCCTGGCCAACACGCCGAAACCCTGTCTCTACTAAAAATACAAAAATTAGCCAGGTGGGCACTCATAATCCTGGCTACTTGGGAGGCTGAGGCAGGAGAATCCAGCTACTCAGGAGGCAGAGGCTGCATTGAGCCGATATCGCGCCACTGCACTCCAGCCTAGGTGACAGAGTGAAATTCTTATCTCAAAGAAAAAAAAAAAAAAGAGTGGAGAGTAGAATACAACATTGTGAGTTAAAATGATTTAGTGGCACTCAACTGGTCATTCAATATATACTTATGGAATGTTCGCTATGTACCAGACACCGTGCCAAGCACTAAATCTAAAAAGGCACCAAAAAAGATGCTTAGAAATAGGACCGCACACATGGTTTCCTTGTTCTTGATAGAAAGTTCCTGTCTAAAGCAAAGGAAAAAGATATGGTGAAGTTGTTATACATCTCAGGATATGGGACTGGGTAAACCAAACTGAGTTTCCTCAAGTTTCTATGGGAAAGTAGAAAGAAGGAAGAAATTATAGGCAGAATTTGTATCATCCTTGGATGGTCGTATATGGAACCAGACAAAAACTGGCTTCCAGGCTTTCTTTTTAATTCACAATCCATTTCACTCCAGCTCCTTAACCCTGCACACACTCTTACCAGCCCCCATCTTCATTCTTTGGATCCCCCCACCCCGAGTTTCTGCAAAGGTAAAATCTGTAAATCTACCGATGTTACAGATTTCTAATGATACAGATTATCAACATCATGCACCTCCAAGGGATATTCCAGAGTAGTATCTTATGAAAAAAAGGATTAAAGATACACACACTTGCCCAGAGAAAGCAATTTTTCAATGACTGAAATACATAAAGGGAAATAGGTAACTGCTTTCTAAGCATGCCTTTGCTCCATGGCCATCAAGAACTCCACCTCTTTCTTTCCTATTGTCACATGATTTGTCAAGTGAGGTTGTTCTTAGTGGCTCTGAGAGAACGGGAAGCTCGTTTACAAAGTGTTTGTGGGTTAGAAATTTAAATTTATACCGATGTATAAAGAAATTTCATTTTATAAGGTAGTTTAGAAATATTTGGAAATTCGGCTTCCAGAGTGCTACTTCTCTAAGAACTAGTGACTGAGTAGTTAGAGGGGTAACCACTGAAGATGGGTAGTTAGTTACTTTTTGGAGCGTTCTTGAGGCAACAAGTGTACAACAACCTTTGGTACTATATCTCAAAATTTAATCACTCATAAATCAAGATGTCATTCTTAGGTATTAACAAATGCTCTTGCTGCAATTAAAACCTATTTCCTCTTAATCTTCTGTGAAGGCAGAAAATACAGTAACTGATCATCCTTTCTTATAATAAACCTTGTATAATTAAAAACTCGCCAGGCACGGTGGCTAATGCCTGTAATCCCAGCACTTTGGGAGGCCGAGGGAGGCGGATCACAAGGTCGGGGGTGGGGTGGGGAGGCGGGGTTTGAGACCAGCCTGGCCAACATGGCAAAACCCCGTCTCTACTAAAAATACAAAAATTAGCCAGGTGGTAGCCAGGTGTGGTGGCACGAGCCTGAGGTCCCAGCTACTCCGGAGGCTGAAGCAGGAGAATCACTTGAACCCGGGAGGTGGAGGCTGCAGTGAGCCTAGACTGCGCCATTGCACTCCAGCCTGGGCAACAGAGCAAGACTCTGTCTCAAAACCAAAACAAAACCAAAACCAAAACAAACAACAACAAATAAATCTCTTTATTGTCCTTTATCTTTTGCAAGCTAGGTAACTCTATGTGGCCCAAATCTTTTTGGTAGTATTTTATTTTGGTACTAATGCTTATTGGTAAAGACTGCTTTTTCAGTGCTAGAACAATTTTTGTACCGTAAACAAAGAATGCAGAGATTTTGTTAAGATCTTCAGTCTCCAAATGCTGTAATTAAACTGTAGACATCTGGATTTTAGACACTTCTTTGGTTTTGTTTGGGGAAAATTCGTTTTATGGCCGAGAGGTTTTCGAGTGTAATCTTTTTGGATTTCATGTAAGAAACACAGTACCAACGGTTGTCATTCTCTAGTATAACAAAATTTCACTAGCCTTTTCTGTGTTGTTCTAGTAACATTTCCATATAAAGACGTGGAACCAAAAAATCAAAGTCCCTTTGTTTAGACAATGAGTCATTAAAAAATTCTCACTTTACCTTGGTTGATTAGGGTTGCCCAAAGCCTCAAACTCTTCTGTAATTACTGTACTCGTTTATTGGAGGCACTTAAGAGAAGGCCTGGCAAATTCATCGGTCCTGGTGCCGGCTATTTGAGTCTTAAAGTGGAAATGTAAAGTCTGAAATGCACTCGCTGCCAGGCGCACTGAGTCTTAGGTGCAGGTGGGGTTGGTGATACCAGGTGTGATTTGACAAGCCGTGGGCTGGCCCTGTAACAGTCCCCAGGCTGGTATCAAGTTCCGTGTAACATCCTCTTTCCTTGAGGACTTCAAGAATCTACCAAAAGAAAAGCATCTCTTGACGAGTAACTTAAGCCAGTTTCATGTTGAATAGAAAAGTAAATGCCTATTACAGCAGAAATCTCTACAGGATTAGGAACTGGGGCAATGGGGATGGTGGTGGTTCCGGTGAGGGAGGCTTCACTTGTCACTTTCAACGCCTAAACCCTCCTTTTGTTAGCTGGCCCCACACAGGCCACTGCCTACTCCCTAACGCATCCTCACCTTCCCCCAACCAGATGTGATTAGGGGAGCAAGCGTCCCCTGAGAATCCTCTGGGCTCCCTCGGGACAGCTGCTGTGGGGAGCTCCGGCTCTATCCGCAGAACTTTCTTCAGTCCCTACTCAGCGGGAACCTTTTTACCGATTGGAAAAATAACCAGTCGTGCTCAGGTGCTCTCCCTTACTGAGATATACCGGCGAGGCTTCCCTGGCCGCAACGCCGCCGTAGGGGCCGCTACCAAGCGCGGGATCCCAGGGTACTGCTCATTGCCCAACTCCGACGAGCTCCCAATTGCCGCAACGCCCCGCCCCTTGCCACCTCCGCACATCTCATTGGCCAGAGCCTGCGTCCGCCTCGGCTCCTGACTGGTGGCTGCGCCTGTCGGTCTGTGCGGCAGGGACATTTCCGCATTGAAGGGGCTGCTCCTAATGGAGGGGGAGGGGAGGTGTTTAGGCGAAAGTGGGGGCTTTGGGTGTCGGGAGCCGGCTGACGGGTGGACAAGGGGGGCTTAGCAGCTGGGCTGCGACCGTTAGCGAGGGGCTCAAGGTGTGCATGTGTGAGGGAAGAGGGAGAGAGAGAAGGGCGCCTCAGAGGTGACTTTCTCTCAGCCTGCGAGCCTTCTTCCCGGGGCGCCATAAACGCCCCCAATTTCCCAGCTGCTAAAGGAAGAGGAAGGTGGGTCTCGCTGGCGGCTTGAGGAGGGGCGGGGTTGGGCTTCCGGCGACCCCCTGGATGGGTGTGTTTTCCCCCTCTCGCTGGCCCGCTGTGTAGTCTCAGAGGCGGAATTTGGGATTCTGAGGAGCGCAGTGCAGGCGGGGCGAGAATATGTGGGAAGGGTCAGGGCCCTTCCTTGGGACTCCCGCGCCGGTGCACGGGTCTATCCCTAGCCGGTTACCCCTTAGTGTCCGCTCGGGGGAGGGGCAGCGTAGCCTTCGGCCCTTCCCGAGGAAAAGCTGCGGCCAGGTTTCACTGCTCGAGGCGGGAAGGCAGGGAGCTGAGGCCCCGACGGGTCGGCCCGCCAGAGCGTGGAATTGGTAGCGCCTCCTAGTCCCAGGATATTTATGGCTGGTGAAAATGGTTGCACTGCCCCCGCTTGCCGGCCTCGCCCGCCTCCCCGACCCCTGCTTGGGCGGGAGCCGCTGTTAACCAGGGTTTTCCGGGGAAGCGGCTTGGGGCTGGACGGCGGCGCGGGGAGGGGGCAGCTAGGGGCGCGGCCTGCCAGTGCCTCCTGCAGTCCAGCCCCGAAGGGCGTGGGGACTTGGGGGCGGTGAAATAGCCGCTGTAGGTCCGCCTCTTTCATTGATGAAATTTAAGTTCGTGTGGTTTTACCTTTTCCGGGAGTCTCCAGCTGGCCCTCATTTGTGTCAGGAGCTTAGGAATTCCCAAGTCGACTCAGTCGCACCAAGTTTCCATCTTTTGGAATTGGAGAAGGAATTTCTTTCTTTTCTTTTTCTTTCTCTTTTTCTTTTTCTTCCTTTTTTTTTTTTTTTTTTTTTTTTTTTTTTGCCAGTTTTAATGGCTTTTAATAAATACTCCCTTAAGTAGTTAAATATAGGAGGAGAAAGAATACGTCGGTTGTTAAAGCGGGAGAGGAGGAGAGACCTGCCCTATAGCGTGACTCCTCTAGAAAAAAAAAAAAAAAAAAAAACCGGAGTATTTTACTAAACTCCTAAAATGTCGAGATTTGTACAAGGTAAGAAATGCTGCTGCTTATATCCCGAGTTGCTTCAGCCGAATTTCGGTACTGACAGTGGAGAGGTTGGTGGGTGGTTTGGAAGTGGAAATGTTCATTTGAGATAACATTTGCGAAACCCTTTTCGTTGAATTGTCATCTGAGCTGCCTTGAGCTGCTGGGTTGACGTTCCAGACACGTATAATTTAAGCTCCTGTACCCTGCTGGGTTTAGTTTTGCCTCCCTGAAATCAGGTTAGTAGTACTGTCGCTCTTCTGGATAGTGGCTGTAAGTGATAAAACAGGATTTTGGCTGCTGATTAATCTTGTTCTCTTTTCCTGGTCTGTGTCAAGGTACCTGTGCGTGCACGCAGACGGGAAGGGCTGGGGAAGCGGGAGGATTGGGAAAGGCCAGGTGGGTTTTGCTGGGACTGTTGGGGAAGCTTTAGTGTTCGCTTCTACTCCGTTTGTGTGTACGTGGTTTGCGTCTCAGATTCACTTATTGCGAAACCGGGAGTAGCCCGAAGAAGCTGGAGGTCATTTCAGCTGGAGAAATGACTTTGCTGCATTGCTGTGTTTATTTTTTTCCCTTTTTGAACTATGAAAAGATGATTAAGGTTTCTTTCAAATTTGAAAACTGTCCTCTAAATTCCACATGTGTATTAAAAAAGGGTTAGGGAATGCCACAACTGAGATTATCAATGATATTGTGTGTATGAATGCATGTGTGTACGGTGCACTCATTGAAATTGGTGCTGCCATAAACCTTTGACACCAGTTTGTAGCATGAGATTTGCCTTCTGGTATGCAAGTAAACTCTTTACTTGTAGGCTCCAGTGTGTGAAAGCTTCAGCCATCTTGATGAACACACAGCTAGTAAAGTTCACAAACACTTACTGTGCTTCCTGATAAATGTAGGTGTACTTTTGAGAAAAAAAAAAGTTGTGTCAGTAATGGCCATCATTTGACCCTGGGAATAAAAATGCCTTTCTGAGTTCTATATCACTTTATTGAGTCTTCTTTAAATTTTGTGTGGTAGATTAAAGAGAATTCGACTGCCTGTGTTATTATCGAAACAGATCGAACACTATGCTTGTCTTTAGCACTAAGCTCAGAAATGTCACTTTTTATTAGAGTTCCAAATTCATGTTATACCTTATATGTGGTAAGAGATGCTTATGTTCTCATTGAGTAAATGTCTTATTCAAGAAGAGAAAGGCAGAACTGTTAGAAACGTACTGGTTTTGTAATAACAATATTCAGTTACCATAAAGGCGGTATTTTGCAAGAATATGCTAGGTAAAAGTGGACAAGTTACGTCTCTTTAAAAGTTAGAAATACTATAACCCAAGATGTTCCATGTAGAGTTATGCTTTAGAATAGGTTGCAGAATTGGCAAGCATTGACTGATTTCACAGCCTTTGCTTTGTAAGGCCAACTGTCCTCAGGAGATTCAAAATCAAGTGATAAGAATGCTGTGTATGTTTGTCATTACTTTGTCATCCACTTTTTTAAAAAAACTTTTTATATTTTGGAATACTTCTGGATTTATAGAAAAGTTGCACATTTGTCAAAAGTTAGAAATTAACATAGGTACATCACTGTTAACTAAAGACTTTGTTCAGATTACCGTTGCCATGATTCAATCCTAGATACCAGATTGCATTTAGTTGCCAGCCACTTTTTTTTCTTTCCTTTTTTTATTTTTTCTTTTTCTTTCTTTCTTTCTTTTCTTTTCTTTTCTTTTTTTTTTTTTGGTCAAGGTCTTACTGTGTTGTCCACGCTGGAGTACAGTGGGTATTCACAGAAGCAATCATAGTGCACTACAGCTTCAAGCCCCTGGGCTCAAGCTGTCCTCCTGCCTTAGCCTCCTGAATAGATGGGATTTAGGCATGTGCCATAGCCTATGGTTGCCATACATTTTTACTTTAAATGGTAGTTTTCCTTTTAAGATGGGCAGTTTTGCACAAAAATATGACACCTCGTCAAAATCTTTTGACATGAATGTGCTCCTGTTTATCGTCGTTTAAATTTTGTACAGTGTGAGCCCTCTACATGTTTAACTCTGCTGCTGTTATAAATGATAAACCTCATTGACAAATGACACAGCTGTCTCCACAAAAGAGCTTTCAAGTATAAGGGTTGGAAATTTTGGTTTTGATTTTTTTTTTTAAGCAAATCAAATTCTTTATCTTTGCTGCAGAAAATATTGATATTTCCAATCACTGACACTTAGTAGTTCATGCTCCTTCACAGGGGAGTTAACTAATGTTAGGTTTCTAACTATTTTTTTCATGAATTTTCTCATTAAGCTTTATTAAGAGTCCTGAGATGTAGATTTTTAGCCTGCCCTTACAGGTGAGGAAAATTGAGTATCTTGTCCAAAGTTCGCAGCTTGTATAAATCACTGAATTTTTTTTTTTTTTTTTTTTTTTGAGGCAGGGTCTCACTTTGTTGCCCAGGCTGGAGTGCAGTGGTATGATCACAGCTCACTGCAGCCTTGATCTCCCCCACCTCAGCCCCCTGAGTAGCTGGGACTACAGGTGCACACCACCATGCCTGGCTACTTTTCTCCTTTTTTAAAGAGACAGGCTTTCCCTGTGTTTCTCAGACTGGTCTCAAACTTCTGGCCTTAAGTGATCTTCCAGTCTCAGCCTCCCAAAGTGCTGGGATTATAGGTATGAGCTGCTAGCGCCCAGCACTGAAATTCTTATGTGAATGTGTCTAAAACCCTTGTCCTTCCTGACATCTTTTGTTGCTTCTAACATTAACAACTGTGGAAATGGCCTGTTTCTCTAGCTAGACTGTCAGTTCCCATTGGGCAAAGATAATATTATATCCTTGGGAGAAATAACCGTGTTTTGTAAGTGGTGGATACTCTAAATGAATTTGTCATGGTTGACAAATGAGAAGCCCACTTAGCACTTTCCATGTACTGTTTAGTAGGTTATCTTACATTTTTGGTTGTAGTTTTTATAACACTTCTTAGATTACATAGATGTTGAGAAAGATGGAAGGGTACAGACTTAGATTTGAATACTGTTACTAGCAGGTGATCTTAGACACATAACTTTCAAACCTCAGTTTCTTCTTAGATAAAAATTGGGCAGTAATGCTTATGCCTCAGGGTTATTGAGAAGCTGAAATGAGATGAACTCTGTGGATGTGCTGGGCACATATTAGGTGGCCAGTCAACTTTACTTTTCTTTCCTGAAATAATGGTGGCCTTTCAGATAGCATTGCCACGTGAAATATAACATGTCATCTACAGAACTAAAAAAAGGCAGGTATGACAGTTCTTTATTTTCCTATTCCAGGTTTCATGTTCAGGCCTAGGTGTTACTATGTTAAAAAAACAAATGTGCAGGGGTGGGGCAAGGTAAAGTTTGGACAATGTGAATTTGGTTTTAGTTTTTATAACTGCTTAACTTGAATACAAGTTGGTAACAGTTTTCTTTTGAATACAGTGAACACATTTTTTTTTTGAGCTCTTACTATATGTATAATATACTATATTAGGATTTCTGGCATATCCCTTATGGTAGGCACTGAAGTTGAGCAGATCTGGGCATTACACCTAAGTGTTGTGTACACCTGTTTTGAATGTAATGGAATGGTTGCTTTACTTGGCTTGTATCTCTTTCTCCGAATCTAGGCATTGTGCTTTACAGGAAAGTCGCGTATCTCCATCCTCAAGCACATTGACCATAGACTATTAGGTGGAAATGTTCAGTTAATAAAAATATTTAGGTAGGCAGGAGAGTTCTTAGTATATATTTCTTAGCCAAAAAAAGGTTCAGGTTTCTTTGGCCACATCCCCAAGTCTCTGTCCCTCAGGCACTTAAGATTCCTTCTCTTAGGAAGACCTTTCTTTACTGGATCTGCAACAGAATTCCTAGCTATTCTGCTGTTGAGTCACCTTCTGCTGGCTTGTGACATTTCTTCTGCTTCTGGTTTTCCTTACCCCAGGGATTGTTCCAGGGCCCCAGTTCTTTTAAATGAAT